GCCTGGGAACATAGTGAGACCCTATCTCTACAAAATAATTTTAAACATAAGCTGGGCGTGGTGGCAGGTGCCTGCAGTCCCAGCTACTCAGGAGGCTGAGGCAGGAGGATCGCTTGAGCCCAGGAGTTGGAGGCTGCAGTCAGTGAGCTCTGACAGCACCATTGCACTCCAGCCTGGGTGACAGAGGGAGACCGTATCTCTCAAAAAAACAAAATTTCAACTAGCAGGTGTGAAAGTTATAATAAAACCCTTTTAAAAATCAACTTCTTAGGGATGAAAGTGTGAGTTATGCCCCCTCAAAAACATTATAAAAATCAACTTTTCCAACACTCCTAGTGTTCAACAGCTCTAAAATCCTAAGGAGAAAGGTTGGCAGGACGTTAGTCTGGCCGGTTAGTCTGACACATCTGAACCCACTGATCAAGCTCAGCATCCCTACAGGCTGGAAAAGCAGATGTCGTGCGTCTCCAGAGGTGATGCAAGAGGAATTGCCCACCCCGTCCCCCCCAAAGTGAACCCAGATCTACATGAAGCCTCTAGATCTGCCAGCTTACAGAACACACAGGCTGGAGAAACTGGCCAAATGAAACCACAAATGTGTAATAAACCCAAACAAGAATGCAAGAACTATATATAGGACAAACGATCCAGTTTCTTCAATAAATAAAATGTCATAAAGTGTATGTGTTGGGTTGGATTAAAAGAGGCTTAAGAAGCCTCTAGATGTCACCAGTGCCTCCTGCGTGCATCTCGATTGCCGCGCGCCAAATGGAAGATGACATTTGAGGCAACCGGGAAATGTAGACGTAGACTGGCAGAGGTCGGTTATGAGACATCCTTCATTTAGTTAGGTGTGACCGTGAGAAATCCTTGTCCGTTGGAGATACCTACTGAAGTATTTTAGGGATGAAATTAAATCCTGAGATTTGCTTTAAAATCTGGAATCACGGAGGGGCGTGGGGAGCGGCAAACAGTTCTGACGAGTGAATGGGAGTTCATTTCCTTACACTAATCTAGCATTGTGTATGTTTAAAATTGTATTTATAAAAAGTTACATAAAACAAAAGCAGAAACCGGAAACACAAGAAAGACCAAAACCCAAGATTGCAAAACACCAAATCTATATTTACATCCACATATAATAACATAACTTTAAGCTGAAATATATCATAAATAAAACAAGTAATGTCTACTATTTGACAACTTAAGTATCAACAATTAAAATAAATCAAACTGGAATGAAATAAATACATAAACAAAAATCCAACGAATTGTACCTCTATTATATGTACTGTTGTCTCAAAGGAAAAAAAACATACAAAACCAGTAGTATACCAATAGTTAATACTGATGGACAAAAAACATATTTTGAAGTACAAAGGGCTGTGAAAAAAACTGGTATTTTTATGCATTCAGAAATGTGGTTGAAAAGGAGAAATCTGAAAGCCCAAAAAATTTCGGCATAACACAAACTGACTTGTTTTCAAATAGATTTGGTGATTTTTTTAAATACAGGTTTAAATTTCAGCCCCCTATTATCACATACCCCCTTTTAAGATTTACGTTTATAGTCACAGCAAGCTCTCTGTAACACTCATTGGATTAGGCAAAGACTGAATCAATTATCTTGCAAATGTGTTAATCTTCAAAAATAGGCTATAAAAGTGCAAAACTATGAAAACAAAATCTAGATTATGTACATATGGCTCAGCTTGTGAACAGGAAACAAGGTCAATAGTGTACGCTTTCCTGATACAAAGCATTTCATTGCGATGCCAGCAGACCAAGCGATCTCAGTTAGGTCTCCCTTTAACACAGGAGTTAAGACTTCTACCAAGGACACCTCATGTTGCATAATGGAAAAAAAATCAGGACTCCTTTAGGACTTTATCCTTGCTCTGTGGAGAAGAGCAGGGCCAGAAAAATAACAGTGCAAATTTATTTTGAAACAGTTTCTTAATAAAATATTTTGTGGTTGCTAAACCCACGTACTGCTGAATCAACTCAGCCAGGGACAGCACATTAAAGGAACAAAAGTTTAAAATATCTAGTAAGCCAGCTTGTGGCTCTCCTAAGACCCAAACTGCATGTGCACTGAGAAAAATGTTGCTGCTTCGAAACAACCAAAAATGGGAAGACAAATGAGGTCTAGAAACAGATTCTCTCTTCCCAGGAGGCTCAGCCAGCAGTTTCTTAGTCAGAATCAGTGTGTCTGTAATTAACTTGAATATGTCCACAGTCAACCCGAATGCCAGACACGCCAAGACTGCCAAATACAAACCTGAAATTTTCAAAAAAACCTTTCATTTCCTTTAAAATTGCTTCCCAATATTTGGAATTCACATATATAATTTAACACTTATATTTTAATGTACTAATTTAGGCAAACACTCAAAAAACCTGAATTTTCCAACAAAAATGATTAATTTGATAGAAAACAAATTTAACTAACTCCACACACAGTTTGGTATGTTTACTTGATATCTGGCTGCTCTATGGAGGAAATGCTTCTCTGTAGACACTCACTTAAAAACCCCACAAACCATCCCACCCCCTCAGGAGAGGATGGTGGTGGTTCCAGGACAATCTGGAGCGGCCAGGAAGGGGTCTTCCTCAGTTGACATGCTGAAGTTTGCGATAAAAGGGCGCCAAATTCAGAATGGCTGACCTCGACATACACAGCACATATTCATAGAGGGTCAATACTTCCGTTAACAATTTCATTAAGACAACAATAGATCTCAGAGGATTCAACATAATACAAATCATTGAGAATTTTTTTTAAAAACATACATTTTAAATGAAAGAGCACAAATAGCAGAAACTGCTCAAAGTGATGAGCTACATGAGAAAAGGAATACACATAGTATTTGAACAAGCAGGTTTACAACTTAAATATTTACAGACTTTTACCTGAGGTGCAAGCATTACATACTTTTCCCCCGCCCCACCCCACCCTACCCAAATGATTTCTTTTTCAGCAGCGCTCAAGTATGCAAAAATTCCACTTCTTATTTGGTCAATTCTAAAAAAAATATTATTCAGGGACAAAATAGAGATTTCTAGTCCCCACTTGTATACAGCCCAACAACTAGTTTTATTGCTATTTGGTACAAAAGTTAACAGAACAACTTTACAAAACCGTAGTGTTCCTTATATGTTCTATGTACAGTACAATCACAGCTTATTTCAGTAGCTTTCACCATTCACTTTCTCAAAGGATGAACTAAAGTTTAATTTCATGTAGGGTATGCACTTATATCCATCAAGACCTAAGGAAAGAAAATTAAAAAGTGATTAAGATAAAAATTGAATATAGTTTAGAAAATTCTTTTTTAAAAAAAAGGTATAATAAACAGAACTGAAGGGACCTAGAAATGCAGTGGATTCCATTTGAGTTCAAATTTTGCAATGACACTATCAGGAGACTAAATAAATAATTCTGCAGTACTAAGGAGATACACCTGCAATGAATGATTTAACGGAGATGATGTAACCAAGAATCAGAACACAAGTAAGATGACTGGAAACGGGGGATGAACCACATGCAGAAGGAACACAAAGGAAGCCCCTGACTCCCAGCAAAGATTTTACAGAAAAAACATGAGACAGTGCTGAGTACCAGAAAGAGGTTGCTTGTTATGCCAAGAGGGTGCAGGCAGGATGTTGCAGGTAGAAGGAAATGCAAGCCAAGAAGCCCAGAGCTTACAGAGAGGCCAGTTACCATGTGCTCCCATTGATCAGTTGTATAGTGTTACTAATAATCAATTCCTTATAATCCACAAATTATTGGGTTTTGTGTTCTAATGTAGAGTGGATTTAACATCATTCCTTCGACTGAGGACAGGATATACTTTACTCATTCCCATTCTGCATTTATAATCCTGAGTGGGAGAGGAGGATTCAGAACTGCATAAAGCTGATGTCGCCCCAGGAGAACATCACTGTTGTGCCCATGTGTGGTCCCAGCGAAAACAGAGAGAAATTCTGCCCTGTACCAGAGCCCTCTTCTCATCTCTGTATCCTAACATCTAGCAAGCACTCAGTAAAGACGTTGTTCAAGGAGTGTATGGTGACAGTTTTATGGGGCAAGGGTCATCTGAGAAAGAACTAAATCTGTCCAGGAGCCCCAATCTTTTCATTCAACTTTATTGTGAAATGAGACCTCACACAGAAATCACACCCTCTGCCCAAACTCTGAATAAACTAAACTAACACGTGCAAATTCTGATGACACTGCTTGAGCCCTAAGGGGTTACTCTACAGTTAGATACATTTGATATGTGAACCATAAAAGTCTAAATAATCTTTCTACTTGCTCCTGTCCCAGCTCCCCTCCCCCAAGAGGCCAGGATTTGCAAAAACTTTGAACAAGCTCTTAAACTTGAAGGTTGGGCACGGGCTTTAAATCTGGGCAGGCCTAGGACAAAAACCAGGCTCCTGCCACACGTGGATTGAGGGGGGCTTGGAGCAAGTTGCATAATCCAAGCCTCAGTCTCCTCATCTACAAAATGTGCACAGTACCTCCTAACCCCAAGTCAAAAACTTTTTCTGTATATGGCCAGACAATAAATATTTCCAGTTTTGCAGGCCATACAGTTTGTCACAGCTCCCCAACTTTGTTGCGGTAGCAGAAAAGCAGCCACAGGTGACGGGTAACAAAGGGCCATGGCATGTTCCAATAAAACTTTATTCACAAAGACAGGTGGGAAGCTAATTTGCTGATCCCAGACCTAATGCCCCCTGCTGTAACAAGGATTAAACGAGATCTTGATTATAAAACACTTCACTCAGTGCCTAGCACCAAGTAAATTCCAGTCACTAGGAACGTTTTTACTATTATCACCACTGATATCCAATGGCCCTGAGCACTCTAGATTTTAAAACAGCTTTAAAAAAAAAATCAAAATTAAAATTAAAAAGTAATTTATGTTGGACAAGTTTGATGGTTTATTTTCAATTAAGTAAAATCAATACATTTAATTAAAACACATGCTCACCTTTTTTCCCTAAAAATAAGAAATCAAGTTTTTTTGTCATTTGGTCGATAATGTGCATTTCCAATAAAATTCTCATAGTTTCTCTTCTGCAGAATGCTGCTAGATAAGTGTTGATACGACACAGGCCTTTTTCCTGATTGAAAAAAAAAAGGGTAAAGGGGCATTTAAAGTCAAGCAATTTGGTAAGAAATATAGGGGTTGTTATATTTTCAAAATTCCCTAACGTCGATAAATCCGTGTGTTTGCACAGTTACAGCTGAATTGTTTTTATGAGAACATTTGTTAGCACAGAATTTTGTTGAAGTCCCTAAAGCTAAGATTATCAAGGTTCCAAGGCTATCATTAGAAAGAATCAAAAGCCAAAAAAAAAGAGGCAGCATAAAGTATTTTAAACCTATAGGCATCATGAACAAAAGTATGTAGAAAAAGAGCTTTAAAAGAAAATATTTAAGAGAGGACTTGACTTCCGACAAAGTCTTGATTCTTGTCTATTTTAAGCACCATGGGAGGGAAATGGATACTTTTAATCAAAAGGCAGCAAAAATTACTATTTCATTACAATTTTTTATAAAATCCACTGGAGTGTGTGACAGCAATTGTTTTTTAATTTGCTATCCCTACCAGACCAATCGGCATCAAGCTATCCTCGACAGAGTGTTGTCACCACAGTGAATCCTTAATTTGAAACTAACACAAACTGAAAGGTTTAAAACGATTTTGTCTCTTTGGGGCAGCAAGAACCAGCAGAGCTTATATCAGATAAAAGAAGGTGTTGCGGTTTGATCAAGTTTGCCAAGAGGGACATGTCCCTGGACACTCTGATCTACCTTTTTATGTGCACAGGTATGTGCCAGGCACCTCTACGAAATGCTACCACCAGGAAAACGTTTCTATGGAAGAACACTGAAGTCATCTACAAGGTTAATGATTTTCCTATGTGGGAAAATGTCATTCTTTAAATTCACTTAATACAGCTGCCCCTCAGTATCCATGGGGCAGTGGTCCAGGACCCCTGTGGATACCAAAACCCATGATGCTCAGGTCCCTGAAATACAATGTGCATATAAGCTATGCACATGCTCCTGTATGCTTTAAATCACATCTAGATTATTTATAATACCTAATACAATACAAATGCCATGGACATAGTTGTTATACTGTATTGTTTAGGGAATAATAACAGGGAAAAATGTCTGTGCGTGTTTAGTACAGACACAACCATCTAATTTTTTTTTCTCAACATTTTTGACCTGCAGTTGGTTGAATCCACACTTGCAGAAACTGCGGACACAGAGGGCTGCCTGTATTTAACGAAGGGTAACTAGGCAGTACAACCCTAAACGTCCTAATGTTGAAACTGTTCAAAAGGACTGTTCAACCTGCAGTTCTTACACTTTCTGCTCCCGACAGGTCGAGGGTCCCCGTGTGGCATTTACCGTGTACCCCTCGCACGCTCCTCCACGGGGGAGGCTCGCGGCAGGGCTGCATGGGACCCAAAGCTCCACACGCAAGACACCCTTTCTGCTCTGAACAAGTTCACGGCCCAGCGGGGCTGGTAAAACGTGTGAAGCAGCAGGTTGGGACTGAGCACTGAGCCTAACACAAACGTGCAAGAGACGAAAAAGGCAACAACGAAGTGAGGTGAGCGGGGCCTTAAATGGCACCTGGAATGCCAAAGGAAAGATCGGATTAGCCCAGTGGTTCCCAACCATTTTTCTCATGATCAATCCAACAACAGAGAAAAATTAAATTAGCAAGAGAAATTAAATACTGAGGAAAGATTTAATCCTGTAGAGTTGAGCCTTGGAGGACCACAAACCATTGCTGTATCTGAAAATGGTTCTCTCCCTCTCTCTATGGGACTCCAAGAACTTTTTGTCCCCTTGGGGGTGGTACCACCTTCACTGAGAACACACAGATTAGATACCAGGCAACTTAGGCACAAGTGCAACTCAAACACGATGCCTCTAACGCAGTACCTTCTAGCGCTGAGCTGGAAGCTGGACTCCCGGCTGGCCCGCAGGTGTAGAGCGGTCCAGAGCCACCGTAGGGCTTCTGAACAGCCAGCACATTCGGAGGGTCGACCTCACCAGAGCTCAGGAACCTCGGTTTGGGGGGCAACGCTGGCGACGGGCACACACACTCCTGAGGTAACAGCGACGTGATGCTTCTGACAACATGGTATTTGGGGAGGTCGTAGGCTCTTCTGTAATTGGGCCCAGGCTGGTCGGCGTCTAGAGCAGCCGCACTGGACTTGAGTCTCTTGGGAAGAGGCTCCCCGAAGTCCGCCGCGGCGCTGCCTGCATTCCGACCGCAGAAATAGTCTCTTCCTTGGGGGGCCCACGGGCTGTCGTTCTTAGGAGGGTAGTCGGTGGAACCATTGACGTTACTGCTGCCGAGGGCGGGCTGAGGTTTTAATTTCGTCTCAGGTCTTTTTGTTTTATCCGCTGCGGGTGAAACACTGGTTTTACAAAACGTCTCGGACTGCTGCTGTCTGGTGGCAGCGGCCCCTGGGCCCCCGACGCTCTGCGGTGGCCTGTGCGACTTCAGGTTGCTTGGGGCTAAAGTGCTAGAGTCTATCCCTGAAGTCAGAGGGGCTTTGCCCGGCCCCGGGGGGCTCTGCTTCACCTTCTCGGAGGGCAGGGATTTGGACTGCGCTGGGAAGGCAGCCTTGGGCTTGGGCTTAGGGAAAACAGACAAGGGAGGCACATCTTTTCCCAGTAAAGCTGGCGGGCACCCCGTACGCCTACTTCTAAGCAAAGACTTGTTTCTACAGTTTTTATGAATGTCCGGATTGTATTTATGCTCCAGTCTCTGGTGCATAATTAAAACTTCTGGATAAAATGTTTTGAAGGTACAAAATGGACAGGTGCTGCTCGGGATTACATTTTTACCCAAAGAAATTGCTGGGCAGTTGGGAAGAGCCCCGAGGGATAAATTTAAAGGTTTGTCAGGAGAGTCCGTGCTCGGCTTGTATTTGCAATCTGCTGCCGTCTCCACTTTCTTCTCTTTGGGGCCGACATCGACATTCTGGGCGGTGCTGCCGTCTAGAGGAGGAGCAACATCCTCTTCTGTTTTACAGATGAGGTTATTTGCCTGAGGTTCAATTACTGATCTCTTTCTTAACACATCCACATAAGCAGGGGCAGGATTTCTGTTTACTTTGTCTGCACTGGCATCAGCTGCATTTTTATTGAAATCCTGAGTATCTTTGTGTGCTGGTGAGAGCACAGCGCTGCCCAGAACATTCTGAAAGACAGCAGGCATCTCCTTAAGCTGCTTTGCAGGTGGACTGCCTTTAACATCTTTGGCACCATCGAAAAATCTTTTCAAATTTTTGGTTTGCGCACTGTCAGCGGTTAATAGTGCATCTTCAGTCTCCTGATTTTTACCATCGTTCTTGACTTCGGCAGCAACATCTATCTGTTTATCCTTGTGATGTCTCTCCAAGTGATACCTCAGAGATGTCTTCTGGGCTGCAGCATAGTCACAAAATTCACATTTGTATGGTTTTTCACCTAAAACAAGAAATGGCACTATATTATAGAAGTTTATGAAAAGCATCAAAATAGATTTGTGGAAACAAGAAGAATCCATTATTTAGAAAATACAGGCTTCCCTTCCTTTTCCCTTCTCAATCTACTAATCTTCATGTCCAGGATTTCTCATGAGTTCTTCACCTCATCACCCTTATTATACTGAATATGTGAAAGTACAAATACATACCTTCGATAGAAAAAACAAAATAATAGCAACAATTCTAACTTATTAATCTTCATAACCGTCCTATGAAGTGATTATTATTATTCTACTTTTATGGCTAAAAAAACTAAAAGCACAAAAAGGTTAAATAATTTGCCCAACGTTGCAGCTAGTACATGGAAAAGATGAAATTCATCTTTGTGGGCCGGCCGGGGCGGGGCAAGAGATAAAATTCAAATCTATGCAGCCTCCCGCCCAATTGTGCTACAGCTTTAACAATCTAAAGAAAGACTACTAAATATATTCTCATTTCATTCTAAATCATGAAAATATAAAAAAGATATGGCATTAAAAAATATGAAGTTTTAATAAGATGTGAATGTCAGGTACAATAATCACAAACTAAACAAAAAATTAACTTCAAAACAGGAACAGTTCAAGTGACAATGGTACTAAAAGAATAAAAATAACAGCTGCAATAAACACAGTACACATTTATTCTTCACTATTCCAAGCATCTAGCAGAATATTTGAACAAAAAAAAAGTAGAGAACTATATTATAATTCTTTTAACTAATACATGCTTTAAAAAAAAAAAAAAAAGAAGTTCTTTACCTGTATGGGTTCTGAGATGAATATTGAGGTAATAATTTGAACGGAAAAACTTTCCACAGTAACTACACTCTCTTGAGGATGTGAGATGCTTTATTTTTCCTCCATCATCATTTTTATCTTAAAGCAGAAACAAAAATATTTTATAAGACAGCTGAAATACATGTATAAGACATGCTGAATTAAATATTCTTGATATAAGCGTATTTGGAAAGCATGAAATCATTTTTTTATGTTGGGATTGGGGTAGACCCAAAAATGCTAAAAACATACCAAATGCTGTTTTGAAACTGTTTAAAGTTTCATAAAATGCCTGTGTTTTTGATTTTTTTTATTTTCTGGGAATAGCAAAGTGCACTATTAAAGATTCAGTTCTTTGTTTGCCTTAATCACAAGAAAGATCATTTAACAGACCAAACTGCACGGGCAGCTTCCTGTTCTCTCCGTATTTCTTAGCGAGCAGGACCTGCCAACTGAAGGTGGACGTACAGTATGGCTGGAAAAGCCACCTTCTTCACAATAAGTAATTTAGAAAAATAAGCCAGTGTGAATCGTCAATTTCCCTAACCACCAGGGTTTCGAAAAATAAGCTTATTTTAAGATTAAACAAGTTACCACTAGAGGGTAGCAAGCACAACTTAATCTTCAACAGAAAAGAAAGTCTGGCACTGGGCAAATACGGGAAACTTTGTCAAAATTTAGCTAAGTTTTGGAAAGCAGACTGTATTGCTCACAAGCACTCATGTAGGCAAAATACATCTGACAACTCAAAATCTGTCCCCAAACGACGAGTTAGGCCCTCAGCCTCAATCTTCACGGGACAATCAGAACAGCGCCTCGCGAGGAGCAAAGTCCAAGCCTGATTCATCAGACTCACACACAAGGCCCTCCAAGACAGTCAGATGTGCAGCAATTAAAATACCCCTCACCTAAATGAGTAAGTCTAAATAAACGCCCTCTGTTGTAGATCGTATCACGTACATCGTAACAGGAATGACTACAACAAAGGTCTGGCCATCTCTTGAACTTTTAGCATGATCGAACTGGCCATTCTGCCTTGCAAAACTGTTATGTCCAGTCGAAAGGCCTCTTCTGTCCTCCTTCTGTATTTCTGCACTCTAGATTGCCTGCAGCTTACTAATTTTAAAAAGTAGCTTATAAGCAGACCTTGGTGAGCTTTCAAGTGTAACAAAGACCGGACTATACAATCTCTGTTATCCCTAAACTCCCCCCTAGGGAAAGTGTACGTCCACCTTTAAAACAGAGATAACCTTTAATCTAAAAAGGTGACATAAAAACTTTTAAAAATAAATTTAGTTTTATGATCTTAAATTTAAAAAAAAAAAAGCCAATGATAGTACAGCAAGATAAATCTAGAAACCACATAGTAATACACGTTTAGGAAAATCAATTCCCTAAACACAGAATGACCAGCTTGCTTTCTTACAATCACACCCAACTAGCTGGGTTTGCACCTTGTTGCAATTTCCTACTTCCAACCATGTGTCAGGATTTATGGCATGTTGCGTCATATCCAGAAAGCTATGAAGTGCCTTTACTTGAGAACAAAGCACATGGCATTTCCACATGTCCCTGGCTCCCGCTCTCTCAGCATCACCTCTAACTTTACAGTGTTCTTTAAAGGAGTATGAACTTTTTACAAATAGGCTGCTAAAATTATCCTTGGGAGGTGGAAGACAAGGATCATAGGCCAATTTTGCAAACAGGGAAATCGGGGCAAAGAAGGGTGTAAGCAACATATAATCGGTCACAAAACAATGCAGTGGTAGAACCAGAACCCAATGCCAAGCTGCGGCGCTCCCATCCATGACTGGGTATTCTATCCACCTTGATGAACCAGCCCAAGTTTTCCACGCCACCTACTAGTGATTGGCCATTTCATTACTTTCAGGGCATTGTACTAGTACAGTACTGGTACTAGGAGAAACCACTTTGCCAACTGTGATTAAAACCTTTTTTATGATGTCATTGAGACATCATAATGTGTTTTCCAGATTTCAGAAAACTAAAGATTTGTAGTATGCTAAGTGCTAGGTTTCCTGTGTCTCAGGAAACTCAAAACATCCCAAATATTTGATGTAAAAACTACTGCTCTGACATAGATCACATGATCTGAAAAAGAACTGGGCACTGGCTTAAAAGCAAGTGAAGAGTCCAAAATACTGTCTGGTCAAGGTGATAATGTGGCTGGCTGGGTACAGTGGCTCGCACCTGTAATCCTAGCACTTTGGGAGGTCGAGGCAGGAGGATCACTTAAGCCCAGGAGTTCAAGACCAGCCTGGGCAATATATCAAGACCCCATTGCTAAAAGGAAATTGAAAAATTAGCCAGGCATGGTAGTACACTTCTGTAGTCCCAGCTACTTGCGAGGCTGAGGCAGGAGGATCCCTTGAGCCCAAGAGTTCGAGGCTACAATGAGCTATGATCGCACCACTACACTCCAGGCTGAGCAACAGAGTAAGATCCTGTCTCAAAAAACAATGAAAAATTCATCATGGGTCTCAGAGTTCACAGAAAACTTCAAACACACAGCAAAGTTACACTGAAAGAATCGGAAGAAGGTATTTGTTTTAAACAAAGACCACTTTCACAAACGATAATGTTTCTGAGACCAATTCATGTGCCCATCATTCATTTGTTGATTAATGTCCTACACATTAGGGTTTTTTAAAATGGTTTTAAGCAGCAAAATCCTTTATTCAAACAAAATATTAAACAGACATGAGCAGCTCTGGTTGAAGTGAGGATAGCAAGACTCCAAACACAGGTGGATTCCTTTGCCCTGCACAATTCCGCTGCGGCTCAGGAAATAATGTGAGCGTGCCTTCAGTGACAGTTTTGTTTCCATAAATGCCATTAGTATACTGAAATTTTTACTAAGAAAATGAGGTTTCTCAAAAATATCTTTGATGTGTTCACATTCCCTGTATTTTAGGGACAAATTGTTTGGGTTACTGATTTAACTTGCTAATGGGCACTAGCTTCCCAAACATTAAGGATGGGGTATCAGCCTGCACCAAATGGTTTCTCTAATAATATTCTTGTTCTAGGTGACAATCATTCCCAGTACCTTTTGTGACCACTAGAAAACTCATTTGGAATAAATTTATGAGAACTGGGCCTTGATAAGACAGTGAAGTTAATTGCATGTGAAGATAGCTTGTTTTTAGAGATAAGATCAGGAATGCTAGAAAAACTTTAAGTGAAATCTCTCAATCTTGATACTATGGGCATTCCAGGCCAGATCATCCCTTGATGAGGGTGCTGTCCTGTTCCTTGTAGAATGTCTAGCAGTGTCCCTGGCCTCTGCCCACTGGATGCCAGCTGCATGCACAACACACACCACTGCACAGCTGTGACAATCAAAACGTCTCCAGACATTGCCAGATGTCAACTGGGGGCAAAATCGTCCCAGTTGGGAAACAGCGCTTTAGGCTAATGTACCAAAAAATGTGTGTTGGGAGAGAAATACAAAATCACAGAATTTTCAGAACTAGGAGAAAACTTGATGGGCCTCTTAACGCAACCCCGTTATTACAGAAATGAGAAAATTAAGGCCCTGAGAGGCTAAGCGTCTTATACAGAGTGCTGCCACAAAGAGCCTGGGCTTCACCCTGGTTCTCCAAACCCCCCTCCCCACAGGCGCTGCCTGGGAGGCGAACACAGGGCCGCGGCACACGCCAGAGCAGCTTACCCAGATGGAGCCCTTCAGGAAGCCCATCCTCAGATCCATCTTCAGAACCACCTTCCCCTCGATCCACGGCTCCATTTTCATCCAGAGTGGTGGTTAGGTCTGGAGAGCACGTCCCAGGCTGCCTTCCGTCGACAGACATGGTGGGCGACTCGGCACCCGCCCGTCTGTCCTTCTTGTGCACCCTCGAGTGCAAGACCAGCTGGTGGTAGGTTCTGAAAGCTTTGCCGCACTCAGAGCAGTGCGTCGGCTTCTCTTTGCTACTGGGTAACTTTGGGTCCACGTCCACAGAAGGCACTTCGCCGTTGGAGTGTCTGGACTTCTCTTTATCTTGTGAGAGGCCTGTACAACTTTTATTTGTTTTGGACTTTCCAGAACCTTCCGAATGGCTTTTAGTCACGCTCCAAATTTCTCCAAGTTCTTTTTCTGAACTCGAATCGTCATTGTCGGTGCTTCCTTCTTGCCCCGACTCCTTCACTTCTTCTTGGCCGACGGCGACCTTTCCTTTGGTCGCCAGCTGCCAGGCCTGGTAGGTGGTGAACGGGTCGAGCTGAGGTATCCATTTCACGAGCTTCTTCACCGTTTCGGGGTGAGATTTTGGTCTTAGGTTTAAAAACTGCAGGAACTCTTCCCTCGGAGGAGGCATTCCCTCTTGTGGAGAGCCTGTTTGTGTACTGCTGGGGCCGGAAGCAGTTTTTTTGGTGTGCATCTTGCTGTGCTCAATTAGACTTTCTTTATTTGGAAATAGGAAGCCACAAACCATGCAGATTTTGTAAGGAGATGAGATGCTCTCGGCCGCGTGTGCCTGCACGACCTCGTTGATGGTTGCTGGGCTCTCCAAGCCTTGTTGCAGTTTGTTCCTGGCCCCCGACTTGCCATTATGTGTCCGCATGTGATTTTTTAGAAACCACGGTTCCTTGAATCTTCTTCCACACATGTTACACCCGTAAGTGAAAGAGTCCTTGTGTTTCTTCATGTGGATCTCAACATCAAAAGCGACTCTAAATGTCTGCCCACATACCTCACAGCTAAATTCTTCATTTTCTTTGCCATTCTTGTCCTTTGGAGGTTCTGTTCGCACTTGACTTTTATCAAGAGGACTAAGATACTCAGCTTCGACCCGCAGCACTGCTGGTTCACAAAGGGTAGGCCGATGTTGCGTCAAGACATGTTTGTTAAGGTCTTCTGAATGCGCGAAGGTCTGACTGCAGAACATGCAGTCCAAAGGCATATATCCCTCTATTTGGATGACGTTTTTTTCTTGCGTAGCTCTGAAAGGAACAGCAGTGGTCCCTTTTATGGACATGGCATCATCTATCTCCATCTGGGTGCCAAGAGAACTGCCAATCACTTCTGGCCCATCCATGTACACTAAGAGGGATTGGGTTGGCATGGTTCCTGTCACTCTAGGTTTTATAAAAAACAAGAATCTCAAAGTTTCCTTGGGGAATTTCCGGAGTTGGAATAAGGCCACTTGTGAGACTTGTCACTCACACCTCCAGCAGCCCTGGGCTTCAAAACTAGAGCAAATATTTATTATAAAAGTTCAAAACAAAGTATATAGTCCTCTAACTTCTTATCTTCAGAAGTTTTAGGAAGCTCAGTGCTAGTACCACTGGTTCTTTCCACAAACAAGGCATATACAGACTCCCCGACGCTTTGATTCAAATATGAATCAGCACAAAGCATTAGTTCTCTTTGTCTCCATTGAGTGAGTGATTCAACTGAGCAAGAAGTCAATCCCAGCAACCTGGAGACAAGGGATTTCCAAACCCTAGAGGAAAAAAAATAGGAACGGTTAGCTACACCCAGAGAAAAGAGAAGGCTGGCGCGGATGATTCATAGGGTCTTTTCCACGAGGCAGAGAAGGCGACCAATTCAGTTGCTTCACTTTAACTAACATACAGTGCATCCTGTTAAACATGCTTGTTAATTAAATCATTGGCATTTTATCCAGTCGGTACACTTATTAAATCAGAATTTCATCCAGCTGAACTTAAGACATGACGCTTTACTGATTTAAATCTAAAATGTCAAGTTTTAGGGCAGCAATTGTTAAATTCGGTTGACTATGTTTTAAATGCCACTAAAACATACATGTGTATCTGCTCAACAGCCTCCCCAGCCTAAAGACTGTAAGAACTGTGAAAAGTAAAGATGACAAAATGAAACCACTTTCTCAAGTAAAATTTGAAAGCCAGGGTTTAAAACTGTCTTGTATACAAACAAATCTACATACAACAAACACAAATGCCCAAAAGCACACTGGAAGAGAACACATACAGAGCTCAGCAACATAAGCACACAAAAACAGGAATCTTTCCTAACATCCCCATTCAGGAAACATGGAACCCCTCGAGACGGGTACTCGTCTTGGCCAAGAGAACCTTGATGCACTGTGGCTCACTGGATATTCCAAACCTCACCCCACTGTCCAAATCCCAGTTTGCTTTCAACAACTTTCTGCCTCCAGTAAGCGCTGGGTAGGACTTCCTGGTCCAGACAACAGATGAGGAAATACATACACAAAGCCACTCTCTGAATGTACACATTTAAGTTAAAACCCTCAACACAGCAGGACCAGCATAGCTCAGTCTTTCATCAGAAAATGGATCCTCTCGTTTCTTAATCCACCTCTCACCTGAGGCCTTGGCCAGGTGGAAGACGGATTATTTAGCTTGGTGGCTCTAACTTAAGAAGCGAATTTTCACTCCTGGAGAAAAATTAATCTCTCAAGCCAATACCCTCTACCTTTATGGAAAGCAGTAAGAGGTGTTTTTAAATAGTCCCAACTACTTTGAAACTTCAATCAATTAATTCTACCAAAGAAAACAAAAAGACAGGCAAACTACTCCCACTGCAGGCAACGTACAAACACAACAACAGAAAACATTTACTTTCCTTCTCTCCACTTCCTCAAAGAGCAAGGCCCCTAGGCTCAGTAGAAGCGGAGGAAACGGCTCTTCCCTCCTTCCCATTCCAAAAAAGGAATTCTCGTACTCCTCGTTATCTTTAGTTTTGAATAAATCAGATCTCCAGCATTAAGCTTTTCTAAATAAGACTGCAGATCAAAGATTAGGGCAAAGAAAGAACTTACTGAAGTTTTTTATCTTAATTTCTCAGTCTTGTCTCTGTGGCAATCACAATGGAGTTGCTAAGCACACCAGCTGGTCACCAGCGTGGGGCGTCAGAAAAGAACACTCCAGAGGCCTGTGTTCTAGTCTGGCTAAGTCACAACTGTAAAGATGTCACCACCACAGACCTCTCATCTTTCTAAATCTATTTAATACCATTGGTTAAACGATAGGACGGCCCAGAGAATTTCAAAATTCTATGGTCATGGGGATAGATTTACACATTCAAAAAAATGTTCAATGACTCTGCTAATCAGAATATTAGATGATACTTGGATAAGGGACTGCTAAATTAGGTTTCTATGTAGTCATTTACTCATTCAACAAGTACTTACTGAATGCCAATGTCCCAGACAATATTTTAATATGAACAGCACATATTCTAGAAAAGCAGTTATGAAACTTACATGATTTTCACTGTCCAACAGTTAAATGAGAAAAAGAGAAACCATTCAATGAGTTCTACATAAGGCCACATAGACTCAATTCAATTTGAATAAAGATTGTCATTTATTTGAGGTCCTTCCTATTAGGTGCTAAAATACGCTTTTCTAAAAAATGACATAGTGGTTTAGAGCAAATAGTGGTTTTTTTTTTTTTTTAATGTCCTCATTTGGCAAAATCAAAGTCAGTCCCCATGTCAGGCCTCAACATTATTTTTTGTTATTGTCAGAAATTTAACTAATCTGTGAAATTTTAAAATTTTTGAGGAGTCTACTTTTCTACAGATGTCCTTTCTTTAAAAAAAAAAAAGACACCAACCTTACACTCAATTTCTTGATTAGAAAGATGATGCAGGTATAGCCCTATTACTCCCTCTACCCCTCCCTAGAGTAACAGCATAACTTACAGCCTAACTTGGTTACTGGAAATACTCAGGAATACGGTTTGGTTCCAATTTTTATCTCTGAAATTTTCAAATATCTGGGTTAAGGAAGTCACCATCACCCTGTCACACAAGACCTTCTGAGATTTCACTGGAGCGAAGGATGATAAAGGAGGCACAGTGGGAAATGATCTCAGGAGAAAGAACAGCTTGGGTCTGCCTGGGAGGGTGAACAGCCTGGGAGGCCTGGCAGTGAGGGAAGGGTACCCTAGGCCAACAGGTCTTCTTGTGTGGCCAGATGGGGAAGAACCTCCCAGCAAAACAGAGGCACTTCTTCCTTCAGGGAAGCTTCTAGAACAGATCCTAATAGTCATTAATTGTGTCCAACTGCCCTGAGTCCTAGACTACCTGGTTTCAGGTAATCCTTACTGCTCACCGCAGAGGCGCCTTCCCTGACTACTGCCCAGCACACGCCATGCCCAGCTCGGTGATGACTTCCTCTGACAACTTCCGTCAAGATCTGAAACTGCCCAAGTTTATTTGTTTGCTTGCAACTGTCTCTCTCTACCACCTCTTTTAGATCTTAAGGACAGAGACCTTGTTGCCTAGTTCACTGCTATCCCCAATACCTGGCACAGAGTTAGGCCTTCAACAAACACCTGGTGAATAAACATCACATAATTGGTACAGGCACAGAATCAGTATGCACATGTTTGGCCGCAGTCACTAACCATAAATGATCAGATATTAAAATTAACTCCAATGTTCACCAAAATGTCTACATGACTATCTATGGCTGCCATCTAATTGACATTCTGCAACTTCAGTAGTGTAACAAAATGTAAAAGAAGAATCATATTTAATCATACCATAAAGTTGACCAGCACAAGCAAAAACTGCCATCACTTGGATTTATACCCACTCTCCTTATGACCCACCAAAACAAAAATGCTGGGCGTGCTGGGGAAATCTTTGATAGCAAATGCCCCCAGCTCTCCACTTAGAAACTAAAACGTATGTAGACAAAACACTTCCTTAAACTCTAAAACAATGAGTAATACTTTAAACCACGTTTACATCACTTAAAACGAATTTGCTAAACAAAAATCTTTAAAGTGGTTGTAATAATAAAGACTTAACAGAAATTCTGATCTAATCGCTGTCTAATAAAGAATGGCCATTCCAGCTTTAGTGTGTATGTGCACATACATACATGAGCCTTCCCAAGACCCTTCAGCCTTCCGTACAGCACACAGCAGCCAACAGTGACCACCCTGCTGTCTTTCTTGACAAAGCACCGAAGGGGAAAAGGGAGGATATTATAATCCAACACGTACTGTACTCTAATGCTTTTAGTTTTCAAGAAAGTAAGCATTCTGGACACACTAAGCTTATTGAAAGTTACTTCACAAAAACGTCTCTCAATGTTTAAAAACATTTCTAAACCTTTACTCAAGTAAATAACAGAACTTAACCTTCAGCCCTATACATACCTCAAGGTACCTAAGTCAAGAAGTTACTCAATATAACCCTATACTGAGAGATCCTAGTGTTTAATTTACATTGTGATCATTTAAGTAGATACTTTTTAAAAAATTTAGCACAACATAATCTTTGAAATCCAGTAGATAACCATATTGCTATAAATGCCTGAAATATAAGCCTGATGTTCTTTAGGGCGCTAGGGAGACACTGATTTGTGACTGAAGCTGTGACTTCTACTACTATCTGTAGATCCTGAAATTAGCAAATATTACACATTATACATCGCTTGTTGAAAAGCACAATAATTTGCGCTTAAGTACAACAAATTAGGGCCAACAGCCACCTTGCTGACAATTGCTGTAACTTGGAAATATTTTTCTTTACATACAAGTGTATCGAAACTGTTAACCTTCAGAGACAACATGTCTCTCTGTTTCAGCTGAACAGGGTATCTTAAATTCTTGATATGGAATATTTTATATATCATAGTATGGAGCAATAAGGTATTCAAAAGCTCTCAAAAACTGTCAAAAACACGGAAAAATTATATTTTTATACAAGTACTTTGCCTACAGATCTACTTTTTCCCAAGTTACTAAAATGTCCAAATAAATGTTTATTAAAACATTCAACTTAAACTGCTACTCTCTGGCCAAGGCATTTGTATCCTTAATATTACAAAATTACCTCCAAGATCTGGTTAGGAAGCTTACAGTTCTTCTCTAAGCTTTCCCTCTATATTTTACACATACTATCTTTTCTACATCTATTGACTAGATTGGAGGAAACTCTACATAGCAACCTACAGTAACAGTGAGAAGCTACAGGTTTGTTTGTGTTTTAAATCCTTTAAATCCTTCAACACTATTTCAAGGAAATCACGAAGGTCACACCCATGAGCTACATGGTCAACCCAATTTTCCTAATGTAGCTGTGGACAGAGGCTAAAAAGTTAAGCAAAAAAACCTCGATTAGAATATTCAAAGTTTCTATTCAATGTTACAACCTAAATTCTTCACATGCAAAAGACTGTTCAAAGGCAAAATGTGGGAAGATCCTATAGGAAATAATCTCACTTTCTTGAAACTCTTTATAAATGATCAGTTCTCAATAGGATTAGAAACCAAAGTACTATAAAAATATAATCACATTAACATATTTGAGTGTCATAATTAGAAACTGTCTGATTCATCCCAAATCAGTTAAGGTCAGTTAAAGGATCTTAATAAGAATTTAAAATATCACATATTACTTTTAGTTTCAATATTAACAGATACTGTAATCTGCCAACTGGCTTTTAAAAAACTCCATCTTGACCTGAAAGGGTTA